CACACACACACACACACATATATATATATGTGTGTGTGTGTGTGTGTGTGTGTGAACAACTTAAGCAAGAAGGAAGCCTCTTAATAGCTCTAAAATTAGGATATACTGAATGATGTTTGTGCAAATGACAAGTTGTATAAATATATTTCTACACTCACACACACACACTGTTCCATAGTTAATAGTTGTCTACAGAATAGGAATGTCAGATAGGCTTCAAGATCTATTCTGGTCAAGTGGATTTGAGCAGAGCCCTGAGTCAGAAGCCCACAGTGTTCTTACGCAATGAATGTGGAGTTTATTGGAGTCCACCAAGAGGCTACTTGGAGCCAGTGTTAGAACAATTTCCCCCAGAGAAAAGGGAGTTTATTTTATAAACTCATTAACTCCCTCTCATCTAAAATCAAAACTTTAATTATATGCCCCTTCCCAACTCCTATGAACTATTTCAAATAAAAAATGCAAAGAGGTGACATTATCTTCCTTAGACAAAGCGTTAGCTTTTGGATCGCCAGTGCTAGTTTTCTCCACAGTTTGCTTCATCTCCCAGTCATTACATCATTTTTCTTCCTCATCATCTATCACTTCCTGTCACCCAAGTATTTTCTAGAATGTAAACTTCATGAGAGCAGGGCCTTTTCTATTTTGGTTGCTTTGATTACATGACACAAAATATGATGTCTAACATAACTGGGCTTTGATAAATTCTTATGGGCTGAGAAAGTTAGGCATATTTCCACTAAGTAGGACTGTCAGCTGGGCCAAGTGCTGAGAACATAACCACTGTGAACAGAGCAGCAGAGGCCTTAGCCTCTTCAGTTTAGAGTGTAAGATGTTTGTAAATATTTATGTAGATAGGCACGTTTTTTACTTTGTATCTGCATTTCCACAGGTTACAACCAGTGGCTGTCAACTATTATGTAACCTGGATGCAAGTAACAGAGTAGAGATTCTTTAGAATCCTTTAAGCCCAATCACACAATTAAAACCTGCTTTTAATAAGGGGGAGATAACAATTACTCAACTACTCAAATTAAACTTTGATGGTATTGAGTTAGGAGGGAGAATTTAGGCAGGATCTCAGAATATAGTCTGAGCTAGCCTTGGCCTAGCAACAATTCTTCATTTATTTTTTAGGTGTAGCATTACAGGTCTGAGCCATCATGCGCAGACCCAAGTGAAACTCAAGTCTGAGGTGCCCAAGCAAGGGTAACTAAATGATAGACTTTACTTCATGGAGCCACTTTCAAACTACTCTGAGTTAATGTGAGAGGAGCATGTCCTGATTGGCTACTGGTTTGTAACATTCCCTTCTCCTGCTTCACCCATTTGTTCATAGAATGTCTACCCCAAGACTGCTGACAGAAACTGTTCTCCATGTTTGGGAAGAGCCTGAAAGAAGGTTTTGCTTAGAGTTCTCTCTCTCTCTCTCTCTCTCTCTCTCTCTCTCTCTCTCTCTCTCT